CACCGCAGATTAGCGTCACGCAAAGGAGGTTTGGAAAAATGAATCGTTGAGCGAATCATTTGGGAGTCGTTGAGCAAGTAAGGTAAAAATAAATGCATATTATAAGACAATGAAAGGGTTTTTTGACCTTGCATGCATGTCAACCTGTTGTTAGGGACTCCCAAAACCAAAATATGAACCTTTCATAACCCAATGACAAAAGGAGCACTTTAAATGTGTTCTGAGTTTGTCACACCACAGAAAAATGTGTTATTAACAACCCAACCAAATTTGAATGATAAAAAACAGCAAGTAAATAACATAAGGCATCAAAATCTTGAAAAAATAAGCAGTATTCTCTACTCTCAAACACCGGGGGCGTCCACTGTCAGCACTGAAACCACGCCCACTCGCGGGAAAGATGCCGTCTCTCTTAACTGTCAAATACCGCTACAACACGAATGGATGCTCCCTCTAGCAGCTTAATTTAAATAAGGAGATTGAGATGTTTTGTAAATGATCGCAACTAGGTAATAATGCATTTACGCAACGAAGGTATAGCTAGCTAGCAAACTGTAGGCTGTAGTAGTAACTAACGGTAAAGTCAGTAGCTCACTATTTAGCGGGTGAACCACTGATGCTAATGCACTAGTTATTAGGTGTGTTCGACTTGAAGCAGCGCTGCACAGACCAATCATTGTATGACAAAGTACCGTGAGAACGATTCGAAAGCATAAGGAGTCGTCTACTCTCTACAACTCTCACTGTACTTTGATGTCCTACAATGATCGGTCTGCACAGCGCTGCTTCAAGTCGAACACACCCCTTATAGACGTGGGGAGGGGCCATGCTCAGTGGCTCCATTGCATCATCCGAGTCATGATTTTAGCCCCGCCCAAAAAAATCCTGTTTCAGCAATGCATTTCTAACATTTATAATGTGTTTAGAAACAATTCTCAGAATAGACTTTACATAGACTTTAATGGTTTGCAGTTTTGTTCAAGGTAATTAAATCAACAGTTTTTCAATAACTGAAGAATATGTAAAAGTATTATATTGGGGAAACTGCGCTCCTGCTGTTGGGGCTAAATGAAAGTATTATGTAGGTATAATACCTTATGCATTTATATGATTTTTGTTTTTAAAAAACACCATTTATGATTTATTTTTTATTTATTTTCCCACAAAATGTGTTGCTCCAATTATCAATAAAAACATATATTTCAGAGTTGCTAACTCTGACACACGCTCCCAGGCTCTTGATATCCCTGCTTGCGATATGAAAAAGTCTCAGCTTTAAAATTTTATACGTTTTAATACTAAATTCAAACAATAAATACCATTTTGGTGCACTTAATGTGGCGTAAATCGTAAAATGTAGCGCTTCAGTTAAAGCCAGAGCCATTGAAAAACAGAGTTGCGACAAGCTTTGATCTCGCTGGCGTCACGTGGATCATGGAGCTCTCCAAACAAACCAGGGTTGACAATCACTGGTCTATAATAGAGTCATTATATATAGATCAGTGGTGACAATACACTTGAATGGGTTTAAGTAGGATAGACGACAGCTTCATTATACAGGTATTTGCAGCAATTTTTGGTAAACATTACAGCATATTATGCATAGATTATTACGTCTGTCACGAATCCAGTCCGTGGCCTTCCGTCCGATTGCCACCAGAGTTCGCCCTTCCATTACATTGAATTTCACACCACACAGATTGTTACATGTCACCCTGGACTACATTTCCCATGTTACATTGCACTGATTGGACTCACCTGCAGTCAATCACACACACACACACACACACTATATAACACCCACTCAGATCCTGCTCAAGTCGCCAAGTATTGTCTGCGTTTATCGCTCTCCAAGTGATAGTACTTTACGGAGCCATTTCCCTGTCTTAGTTTCTAGTTTCTAGTTCCTAGTCTCAGTTCCTAGTTCTAGTCTTAGTCTAGTCTCGTTGTGTTTCCTGATTTCCTGGTTTCTGATTCTTGCTTGCGTATCTTGGATTTACCTTTTGCCTTGCCGTTTTGGACTGTGTTTGTCCCTCGCCTAGACTATTGCTCTCGTTTACGGATTACCTCTCTTGTCAAGCCCTCTGGATAACGTTGCTGTTGTCTGACTCAAGCCCGTTTTGGATTGCTCTTTTGTCTTGCCTGTGCCATACCTGTTTGCTGTTGTTCGACCCTGCCTGTGTTTTTTGACCATGTTCATTAATAAAAGCTTGCATATGGATCCGCACGCCTCTCCTCTCGTCGGCTCCGTTACAGAATACTCGGCCGCACAAGGATCCAGTAGCTTTTCAGAAGAACATTGGCCAGGTATGGACACAGCATGAATATTATTAGCTCTTAAACAAGGCCCGCGTTCGCTGGAGAATTATATTCCAGAGTATCTAGCCATTGCCTATTACTCTGATTTACCGGACTGTTTGTTGATAAGAGTTTTTTTGCGGAGGTATTAATCAACCGCTGATGTCTAAGCTTAAACGCGAGGGTCCGCGTTCATCACTCAGAATCACACACAGTTTATGGACTATGCTTTGTTGTGTGTTGGCTCTTCATTCACTGTGGGTGTCGCGGAGGAGGAATGCGACACCGCGTCTGTGACTGAAATGGCGGCCGCACCACAACAACGCACCGTCATTTCTCATTTGCTATTCCTGAGTCAAGTCACGTCACGTCACATTTGACCGTCATGAATCAAGTCAAGTCACAGTTGATCGTCATGAGTCAAGTCACAGCTGATCTTCATGAGTCAAGTCTTGCAGAACCTCCGGAGGCGACATCTTTCACTTCAGCTCTGGTTACGGTAGTGGCACCCATTACTGAACTCCCTGTCTGTCCTGTCACAGCTATGAAGGCTGTCTGTGAACTCTCTGCCCATCCAGTCACGGCTATGAAGGCCGTCTGTGAATCCTCTTCCTGTCCTGTCACGGCTATGGAGGCCGTCTGTGAACTCTCTGCCTGTCCTGTCACGGCTATGGAGGCCGTCTGTGA